AGGCATCAATCAGGCATCAGTTGGTATTGTTCGGTAAGGAACCTCTATATTCCGACACCATATACCATGGCTTGGCATTGGTAGATGGTATACAACTACCATAATCACTACCATCAGAATGGTAGTCCATATGGTATACAAGCGGAGGATATATAAGGACACTCATTCATGTACTTAGTTTAGTTCTTCGCAATCAATCTAGTTAATCAAGCATTGGTTACCTTCTAGTTTCTGACTCGTCCGCACTTAACCAACAACCCAGCATACGTGCTCGGTTGGCCTTGTTTCTCTATTCGTTACCGTTACCCTTTCTACTTATTGATTATCTTACGGAGCCTGGAGGGGGCGATATACCCATCGACACATACGACTTACTGAACCGGACCCGGAGGGGCATTGAGCATACGAATACTTGGAAGACACTTAGGGTAAGTGTCCTGTCTCGAAATACAACTAACTAGAACCCTAGGTACGATACGGAAGAAGCCAGGTTGTGACACCCGCATAACGTACTTTTGTATATAAAAGGCTGTCCGATGGGACATCTGTTTTTCTCTCCTTCAACGAAACCTCTTGTATGATAGCTAGTTATTAGCACTGCGGGCTTAGCCCCTAACAATCTGAGCTGGATAAAATGCTCGCATTTGAGACTGAGTCCACCCAGGACCAAGATGAATTAACAAGATATTTACAAGGAGGTAAGCTTTTAGTCTCATCTCCTTTAGTATTACCTCCTTTTATCTAATGGCTTTTATCTTAGGTTTGGTCTCAATTAGCCCTCGACAGTTCTGGAAAGATCATGAGCATGAATTTCCTACACTTGCACGTATAACTCGGGATATCTTCTCTATCCCTGCTACTGGTGCTGGTGTAGAGTGGTTATTCAATTCAGCTCGTGATATCTGTCATTATCGAAGAGGTCGTCTGAATGCCAATACCATTCAAGACCTAATGATGTTTACTTGTGCAACTAGATTTGAGATGGAAGAGGAACAGATTGCTTTCATCCAATCTCTGTCTATTCACGAGGAAGGTGAGACAGATGATCTTTTTACTGAGACAAAAGATATTGAGCCAATCAGTGATACTGAGGAAGATGAGGAGGTTTTGAGTTCAATTAAGGGTGGGAAGAGACGAATGAGCCTTTTGTCTAATCATTCTGATCAGAATGATGATGTTTTAATCCCATTACCTACAATGACAGGAAGCCAAATACGTGCCTCTGGTAGAGTGAGAAAGCGCCCTAGAGTACTTGAGGGATATGAGGTTGATTAGAATAGAGTAGAGTAATGGAAATTTCATCTTTTTGTCAGAATCAATAGCATCTTTTCGTCTGTAGGTTTACGACTATAATACTAAAGATACTGCATGAATCGCATTGATTATGCCTCTCCAGTGGGTCTTCGTATTTGGGCATCTTGGCGGCCCATGGGCATGTCAATGTCTAGGCTTGGCGATTCTGCTATCTGCTATTTGCTATTCCATCAGGCTCTGGGATGTAGAATATATGAATGTGTCACTAAAAGCACAGCATGCTGACTTTGATTCCTGTCTGTGAGTTAACAAGGCTCTGTAATATCTTGGCAAGGGGAATGGAGGGCCTGCAGGCATAGCCTCGCCAGCCTCAAAAGTAAGCGTCCCGGCCTCTCACTTTCAGCAGTCTCTAAACTTCTTCTTTCCTTATTGATATCAATATTTAATTCATGAAGGAGCAAATATGCTGAGGGTTCTTTCCGTTCTAATCTTGCTGGTCCATTCCGTTATTGGAGCGAGCCAAAATGGCTCCTTTATAGATCCCCCACAGGGCTCTGATTATAATACGGTATACTATGTTGGCCAGAAGCTCCATATTAAATGGAAGACCAACATAACAAACCCAATTTACCTGCAAGTATTCAACAGACGTACTAGTCAAGGCGAAGAAATTCTAAGTGTGTCCTAAATGCAACCCCTCTGTTTCTTTCATACCCTGATTGATGATCATAGGCAGAAAACAGGGATATACGTCTTATGGCTGGACTGTCCGTCCAGTGGGAAATTCAACAGCGACCGACGTTTATTATCTCATGATAACGGATGCGGACAATTACGATACCCGGTTTATATGCCATGACTTTAACATCACTGCAAACAATGCCAGCACGACAGCGTCTCCCTCGTCTACCGCTCAGGAATGTGATTCCACATCCACGGCATCTTTGGATACTTGCAGCGAAGACGGGTTATCCCCACAGGCAAAGGTGGGGATTGGCGTTGGTGTCGGGCTCGGTTGTGCATTTTTCATAGCGCTTGCCGCTGTCATTTGGTACTTCCATCGCCGAACAGCCGCAGTTGTTCGTCAAGCAAAACTTCCCATAGCCTCGTGTGAGCCTGATAATACACAATATCCCCATCTACAGTCACTGCCGGGGATTCCCCCAGCTGAGCTTCGTGGTGACTTGGTTGCTCATAACAGTGTCAGATATGAGCTGCCTCCATGAGATCTGTCTGTGTTTATTTGCGGGTATTCTGTTTTCATTGTCATTGTGATAAGACTATTGTTAATTGAGGCTCTCTAATTCACAGCATTAAAAAAAAAAAAAAAACTGAGTTATTATAGATCGCCTTGTGTGTACTTAAGACTCGATGTATATAGTAGCTTGGTAGATGGACAAGATTTCCGGTTAGGGGAGCCTTATTTGAATGATCAACTTCTTATATACACCTTGGGCAACTCGAGTCTTGCTCAAATTAGCAGTGCAATGCGGTGTGTAACACATTGACAGGGGGGGAAATATCTGTACAACATTAGCCTCAAAAGCATCTCAGCTTCACTACTCTTTCTTTTTGCTGTCTCTTTCTTATTCTTGTTTTATGGTGGGTAGTGGCATTCGATATTTGGAATATGGCAACGATGTTGAAATATCTATTACTCCTTTTGCTTCCCTTCGTATTTGGGGCGAAACAGAACGTATTCATTTCACCTCCACTACAGGCGGACAGTAATCCAAAATACAAAACTGGCGATCTGCTTGAGGTCCAATGGTCAACCAACTGGGACGTCTATTCTCTCTGGTTGTGGCAAATTGGTACAAACAAAGGCAAGCGTATCCAGGGTATGTCCGATTTCGCTAACGTGGCTCTCCCTTTCACGTCTGACTGACTATCACAGGCCCTTTACGAGATGCCAGCTCTTACGGCTGGACTGTCTCGACAGTTGGGAATTTAACACAGACAAATGTCTTTGTTCTTCAAGTGATAAATGAAAAGAATAGTGATTATTTCATTTGCCATAAATTCAACATCCTCACAAATGAGGCCACCACAACGAGGCTTCCTTCTACCACGTCGATGAATACGTCAAACATCCTACCTACCGCGACTGGCGCCTCACCCACCCAAGCATGCCTTACCACGCCTACTGGGTCTTCAGGCCAATGCGATGAAGCGGGAATTGCACCACAAACAAAGGTTGGGATTGGTGTCGGTGTCGGACTCGGTTGTGCATTCCTCATCGCCCTGGCTGCTATCATCTGGTATTTCCGTCATCATCAGAAAGCTTCAAATGCGACAAGCACGCCACCTGCTTGGTCTCCACCAGATCCCTCGCAAGACTCTTCCAAACAGGGGCCTATAACTCAACAGCCACGGCCTCCAGTTGAAGTCCCCGGTGACTTTGCAGTTGAAGCTCCTAGTGATCGTGTCAGATATGAGTTGCCGTCGTGAAATTTACACCAATATATACGGTTATGACATAATATCAAGAAGGTTGGATACTTGAACAGCGTTAGACATTTGATTGAAGACAGGCTATACACAAACTGTTCCTTAATGCTGCATAATCAGAACATAGAATAATGCAATTTACGCATTTCACTTCATGCACCATGTAGTGAAAACCATAACTTAAGTTAGCTCAGTTTAGCTCAGCTGGAAAATATTCGACACGTTTATTTTATTGCAAGACTTCTCGGTGCTAATATGCGTTATTTTCGGAATAGTGGCGTCACGACATCGACACAGATATCAATCGGACTTACTGGATTAGGTAGTAGTTGCAAAATAGTATGAAATAGAAGGTGAGCCGGCCATACTAGGGTATACACGTACACACCGAGCATCCCTGAGGCTGAAGGAATGGAATGCACGGACTACGTTGGTACCAGAAATTCTGAATGGTCACTATCAGTGACTGTGCAGTCTAGGTGCAGTTTGGTGCATTGCTGTATTGCTGCATTATCACAGCACATTTTAGTACTCCATATCTGTGTTAAGCTGTAAACATTGTCCTTAATACAGCTTCACAGGTATATCACGGTGCAATGGCTTTCCACCAATACGTGGCACCTGAGGTCTCTTCACAACAAATATAAAAAGGCAATGGATCTCCTTCGTAACATCTTCAGAGTACTTCTCTATTTCTATCGAGAGTAAGTTTTCGAGGTACGGTTAGCGTACTATACTTGCCAAAATGCCTATCGGTATGAGGGAGCACTCCGTGGTTGCAGTTGCTGCCGCTAATCTCGAGCATAGTTTGATCTCGAAAAGGATGTTGGGCCCATCAAGGTGCGTGATGCTGTTTCCTCCCGGTGGGAGAATAATATGCCTAGTGGCTAACATGCAATGAACTCTAGATCAAGGGTACCATCGACGAAAAGGCTGGCCAGATCAAAGGCGAGATCGGGACCCATGTCCCGGGACTTGGCTACAAGTCATTCAAGCCGTTTGCCGGCTCCATCAAATATGGTGTCCATGGAAGCTTGGTTTCGGCGCTGGTTCATCAATTCCTACTTTGGTGTATCGGTCAAAGACCATGTTGTCAAGCCCAAATCGGCCTACCTGATAAAGGATACGAAATCACGCTCTTCGAGTTGGAGGCGACCGTTCAATGTAAGTCAGCCTTTTCATTAACGGATACTTTAGATCATAAATTTAAAATGCGTGGAAAGGCGAAATCCATTTCACCAGAGAGACAAATACGGCTTACTTCGATAATGTTGATGGCACCCCGTGCCGTTTCGAATTCGACTTCCAGGACTTCGACTTGCCGCCTCTAGATACCCCTATTGCCATACATACCTACAGGTCTGTCAAAAGCTGTACTGGCCTCAGACAGTCCAAGGTAAAGTTGAACGGATGAAGTTTTCAGGCTTCAAGACGGAGAGAAGATAGAAGGCCAATTTACAGTACCGAAGGTACAAACATCCCTGGGATTATTTGAAAACGGAGTCTGGAATCCTCCGAGTCGCGGCGGGAAGTATGATGATAATTTTAAAGGGGGTAGAGTAGGACAGCAGAGGAAATTACAATGGTATAGCTTTGCCTTCAGTCGGTTTCCAGTGACAAGACATCCCCAAGTATGGTCTTATGAAAAGAAAAAAATGGTATAAAGCGTTAATTCACTCTAAATCAAAACTCTTAAGCGTCAATAGCGTGGTAGCTGAGATAGCCTGAAAACTCGTAACGTTGAAGCTGTTCTAGAGAATAAGTCCAGGCAGACACGAGGAACGATGTCGTCCGAGGGCTGTTAGTCAAGAGTGAGTAACAAAGGCGGTGGCAGTAGGCGGCGACGGCAGGAGGACGTCATTTATCGAATTTTCTGCCCGTGATTGGCAGCGCGGGGGACTCACGCCCGTAGTCAATAGTCAACAGCCGACAGACTTATTCACTTTGCGCTTGTAATACGAGGCGTGCTGCCAGATAAATAGTCTGATACTCTTGTCTGCTGCTCAGTATTCCAGAGCTCTGTTCTTTCCCGGCTTCCTCGTCGCGAAAACCGTGTCGCATTTCCCCTCCAAGCCTCAAGTCAACGGAAATCAGTCCATATGGCTTACTCTGAGCGCGAATTCTACGGCGGCGCCATCGCGGGCGCTATTCCTATAGGCTGGATTGACAGCAGGTAAGCACTTATGCTAGCTCTCTACGTCTAAAGAAGGCCACTAACTTGCGCGTTCTACAGTGACCTCCGCGAAGTTCCCGACCACCAAGAAATCTACCTCTCCCCAACCACTCTCTCCAACTTCATCCTAGAGGTCAACGAGGCCGTCCCTGACAATGAAGCTCTCGCCCACCTAGACCAACAGCAACAGCAATCCACCGCCCCGGCCGGCGGCGTCCATGCGAACAAAGAAACGATCGACAAAGCCGCCGTCAACTACCACCTCCACGACCTCTGCGACGAAGGTGATACCATCCAAGCTGTTATCCCGCCAGCCCCTATCTCCCTCCCGCGCTTCAAGCCAGAACACCAAGCGCGCGCATACAAGGGTGTGGCCTCCTTTACGACTCCCAAGACACAACGGAAGGGCGGTGGTCGGGTTCCGGGGTCTGTGGATGGATCTGCAGCAACAACAACAATGGGTGCTAGTGCTGGTGTTGGGGGGGCGGATGCACCGCAGGTTTCGCGGTTGAGCTGTCATTATTTGCTTGTGCGGTTGGAGAAGCAGAAGACGGATTTGTTGGTGTTTATGAATGTGCCGCATGATGAGTTTGATACAAAGGGGGATCTCGCAGGGCTGTCGAGGGAGGAGGAGTTGGCGACGGGGTTTGTTGATAAGCTGCTTGAGACTTTGGAGGTGAAGAATTGGGGGCTGTTTGGTTGAACCTCTTTCATAAAGGGCCACATGAAAATGATAGTTGCGAGCGATATGGATTTGTACTAGTTAGTTATTAGTTAGTAATAGATAGATGCTACCAATGAATACAATACTACTTGATCACTCCTCAACCCTAAAGGTGGCTTCGTTCTGTAGCTCAAGACGAATCGGCTCCATCTTCTGGTCACCCACATGCTCAGTCCACTTCTTCCCCCAAATTAATCTCTAAGGGTATCCCAAGATATCACCATAGCCATTCAAAATATCCTACTTAGCTCCAAATTGATACCAGGTGACCATGCCCGTCTCTTCCCCCAACTCCACCTGATACCTCGGCCCAAACTCTAAGCAACTCGTATGCGAAAAGCCCCCAACAACCGATTCCAACATCCTAGAGCACGGTCTCACCATCTCCGTCACGCGATACGGAACATCAGGCTCTATCGTGAGGAAATACCTCCCTCTCCCAATCCGTGCAACACGCATATAATCCTTGCGCGAGTGCGCCCGTTTCGTGTTTATCAACCTTATGCATCTCTGAGAAGGGTGCTTTGGGCTGTAACAGGTTCTCGAAGATGAAGACTCTTAGAGGTTTGTTGCTTGGAGAATACAGAATTGCTTCCAGGGTAATAGTGAAGGGCTCGCCGGGGCCTTATTTGTATAGAATGTCCGAGGACGGGATTACTGGAGTGGTGATTCTGGGGGTGCTTTTTGGACGGGAAGAGTCGCCCCAGATGCTATGCAATAGACCTAGCATTAGCATTATGATAACGATTAAGATGGTTAATATGAAGGAGATTCGATGTTTTCTCGTCTCGGTATTAATAGCTGCTGTCTAGCCGAATCAGACAGATACTTTTTTGTCTGATAGCTTGCATGCCCTAACCCCATTATGTCTACATACAGCACTCACTGTCCTTCAATTGCATTGACTTATTTTTAAAGCGCAATCATGTTCATATGGTTGCCATCTATGAGCATTAACTGAAAACGAAACGCAAGCAACCTTTCGCTCCACTGAACGCTCCTCCAGAGTACTCCTTATGATTGCTGGAAGTACAATCCAATGATAGTCGGGATCAACGTTGATCGAGATCCATGGAGATCCTAGTGTATCTGCTGCGTATTTGGGGGCTTCTGGTGAACTATCCTACCATTACTATAACGTACAGGTCGAGTCAAGTTACAAATTGTATACAGGGTATGAGTTACAATGGGTAATACTTTATGTGAGATAAACTCTTAACACATCATTCATATATCCATTATAAACAAAGTGGTCCAATATGACACAATTATACATCAACAAAGAGTGTTCTGTACTCGCATCGGAGCATGGCTGAAAAAAAAAAAAAAAAAAAAAAAAAAAAAAAAAAAAAAAAAAAAAGGGAAAACAACGCTGTAAAGAAAGACTATTAGACATAAAAGTAATGAGTGACCTGACAAAAGAACCTATGATCCACGTCAATGCAAGCTAACACCCCCAAGAACCTGCATTACATCATTGACAGCCTTCGTGTCAACCGGCGAAAGACGAGCAGCACCAGCACCAACACCCATACCAACGCCACTACTAGCACCAGCAGCTGGCTTCTTCTTCGGTGACACATTCCGCGGCTTAGGCTTGATCTGCTGCAGAATACCCCGGCACCGACCACACCGCGACTTGGTCGGGTCGATACTCTTCGAATGCCGTCCGTAGTTCTGCGCACAGTCGACGCATATCCAAACGTACTTGTAATCGATTTTGTAGTTGTGCTTGGTGGTGACTTCAATGCGGCCAGCATAGATGGGGTGGTCCTGAAGAGCCTGTTTGCATTTCAGACCCCATTGCTTGAAGCTCGCTCCGTGAGGGTTGTTGTAGACTTTGGAGATCATGTTGTTGGCCAGATGGCAGTACTCGTGCGCGAGGGTGTTGATCAACCGGTCTTCACTGTCGATTATACGTTCCGCTAGTTCGATAGTTGCGTGATGCTTGGTTGGCTTACCGACATCGTCTTCGGTTATGCGGACTCGTTTCCAGGTGGCACGGCCGGCGGTTGTCTGGAGGGTTTTGCTCCAGACAATGTTCACGCCGCCGGTTTCCTTAACCATCTCTTGGACCTGTCCACCAGCGACAGCATTGTCGAGAACCTTGAGAAAGTCATATGCGAGACCGGCTTTTTTGTCGTCAAAGGACTTCTTGCGCGCTATGAGGGCTTTCTTTTGCTCAATTTCAGCTTTCTTCTGTGCCGTTTTACTGGGTGATTTGGGCTCTCTGCCCTTCACGTTGCGGCTCCGAGGGACGATATCGAATGACTTCTCACGGTTGTGCTCGTTGTCTGAGTCCTCAAATTCACGCAGTAGCTGGTCAAGCTTCTTTGGGGAGTGCTGATCGACCCAGTCGTTGGTTGTCTCCTGACTCCAGAAGGCATCGGTACTCTCGCGGTATGGAGTAGGGGGTATGCGGACTCTGTCTTTCGTAGGAGAGCGAAGACGGTTGTCCTTAGATGGACTCAATGGCGGTGTTTGTGGTCTAGGCGGCTCATATGCCGACTCCTTAGGAGGAGTGTCCAGTTCTATGACAACACTGAGATGCCATTAGCTCTGCTTTAGGATCTGGGCGAAGAAGAAGTTGCCTACTTACTCATTCAGGTCACTAAAAAGCTGAGAAGAAGGATCATTGTCATTGTCATCCAGGTTCAAGTTGTCAAGCTCCTCATTGATATTGAAGCTTTCCTGAGAGAGCCGCGTGCTCGTAAGCCCAGGGTCCAAAGTAGGCATTGTGTCCATGATGAATGATTGCTCCTTTGGTGCCTTCCAAGTCTTCCTCCTTGGCTCTTTTAGCTCTGGCTCTGGCTCTGCCTTTGACTCCTCCGTGGATCCTGGCCGTCTGCCTCTCATCAACCGTCTCCTTGGCTTGGGTGGAGGTGAAGGAATCTTCTCTTCTTCTTCCGTTGATTCATTCTCTGATGCTTCGTTGAAGCTCACATCTTCGTCATCACTGACTATAAACCCTTCCAGATCGGAACCATTGTCCTCAGAATCCCCAGATTCCTCTTCGTCGGTTTCACGCCGCCGATTCCTTCCTCCGAGTGTCTGGCGTATGTTCCTCTGTGCTGGTGCCCGTCGCGAAGATGCATCTGAAGAACTCCTCGACAAGGACGCGGCCTCAAGATCATCATCTCCCGGTTGCTCAACTGGATCGTTCTCCTTCGCGTAGTCGAGTAACTCTGACTTCCGGGTCTGACGGCGACGGCGGACTGGCGATGGGGGTGATGGCATTGGAAGCAACATTGAGTTCACATGCGCGAGCTTCAGCGGATTTTTTGTCTTGTCGTGGGGAGAGATGCTGCCGATGGAAGAGGAGGGGGAAAATGCTGGTGAGGAGGTATGAGATTCGCTGGCGGTGCTGTGTTCTTCTTCGGTTTCTTCGGCTTCGTCGTCAAACAAAACATCGCTGTCGGGGAAGATTTGGAAACCAATCGAGGATTTGCTCTTCTTTTGAGACTGGGTTCTTGCGAGAGATGGTCCCTTTATGGTTCCAGTATTGTTATTTGCTGTCCGTGTTTCAGCAAACAGTTCCCTGCTAGCGTTCCTCTTTGTCTCTGGCAATGGTAACTCGCTTATTCGACGCTCTGGTTTTGCTTGTACTTCAAATGGTACCCGTGTTTCCTGGCGTTTTCGCGGTGACGGCGTGTTATTTAGTCTTGCCATGGTTGTAGCTGTATCTCAACGGCGAGATCCTTCTGAGTATCAGTCAGTTGAAACATACAATGTCGGGTATACTATGGTTAATAAGAGATAAACAAAATTGAAGGCGACTAAGTATGTTATCTGCTATCGTAGTAGGAGTATGGCGGCTGATGTCTTTAGATAGGGTGGTGTTTGGTTGGTTGGCGGGGCAACGACATCGGACATGCAGTAATATCTTACTGACAACGGTTTCTCCGGCTCTTAGTTGTAACTGGTCCAATTGAACATTCCATTATTAATTGTCCTATCAATCAATAATCGATTTTAAATCGATTCGAAATCGAAAGAAAGAGAAAGAAAAAAAAAAAAAAAACGGCCCGAGCCGCGGATCGAACGCGGGACCTCTCGCAGATATGCTTGGGTTATTTCCCTAAGCGAGAATCATACCACTAGACCACCCGGGCTGTGTATAATAACTGTGTTATTTTTGGATTTATAAGTCAAATAATTTGTATTTGTATAAAGTGCATTCCCAGACATCAATCGGACGACATTAGTTATGTATACAACCCAACTAGTTACCATCCTTACAAAGCTCCAAGATGCGCTTGGGATTGCCTCCAGCGTTCTTTAGCCTTCCCCCAAGTTTCTCTAACCTCATCAATGCCAACACATTCTCCCTAAACACAATCTTCCCCGGCTCTTGATTAGGAACCGCTCTCTTCTCAGACTTCTCGATCCTCCTTTAAGACTTGACAAAACCTCACGGTGACGCATTTTGAATTTAGTGGTTTATTTATTTCCAAGTGGTTTGGTACGGTCGAGGGTCTGTCGAATCTTCTGGGCCATCTCGCGTGCCCGGGTGTGCGTAGGAGTGTACCCTTGCTTATCTTTCTCGAGTATCCATTCTACAAGAAAGTCTTCCTCTTCGAGATTTAACCGCTGGTTTTTTTTATGGTAGATATGGAATGTAGGTTTACCGGGGCTGCGATCGGATAGAGTAGAAAGAGTGGGGTTGTTCTGAGCTATAGATATAGCCTAGAAGGAGAAGACCTGTTGGATTCGTTCTGAGGGTGTCGTTTCAATGGTTTCTTCTTTTGGGAGATTCTTGGTTGTATTAGGGGGAGTAGTTTGTAGGTACAGGTTTTTTTAGTGGCATGAGGTGGTTGTAACGCGATGTTCGAGTACTACGGGCGCAATTTATATATTTCCCAATATGTATATACAGTGGATGTCTTACAAATCGTCATCTGACAATATGAACAAAGACTGAACTGTCATACTCTCATGACAAATTATGCATCACTGGCTGTACTTCGTCACAAACTTCAAGATCTCCGTATCAACTTCCTCGGGATTCGAGGCGCTCAGGAAGTGAGCACCTCCATCAATCGGCACGAGCCTCGCATCTGGAGAATTCACGAACAACCCAATCTCCCTTTGTGCATTGGTGAGCGAGTAGACCACATCTTTCGTTCCCTACCCAGTAAATATAGGTTAGCATCGTGCTTCGGGCACAATATATATACGGCATAGACTTACATGCAACCACAACACCGGACACCTCACGTCAAACAACCTCGAGTGCAACCCGTCTCGGTCTCTCAAGTTGATCGCCGACATGCGAAGCCGGCGCCGTCCGTCATTACCGCGATAGTTCTCACGGATGGTCTTGCGCCAGTACTCGCGCGTCTCCGCCGGACAATCCTCGCCAAAGCCAGTGTTAACTAGCATGTCGCAGTAAGCGAGAGGTGGCTCGAAGTCCGGAGTTGATTCATTCGATGTGAAAGCATCGATAGTTGGAGCGATGAGACTGGGAGCATCCCAGCAGCCAAGTTGGCGAGTTTGTTCAGACTCATAGTCCATAGACGTGCCTAGTGGGATGACACCGATAATCTGCAGGGTCTATTAGCATGAGTTCTATTGCATACGCTTCCCTGCATATGCATATGCATGCACATGTACGTACCTTTTCCGGTCGCATCAACGCCATCCGAACCGTAACCCAACCGCCCTGACTCGTTCCCAGCACAAAAGCTTTCCCGATATCCAGGGCATCCAGGACCTGGAGATTCATCTCTGCCGTATCCCAGTATGTCCAGTGTTCGCGCTTAGTGCGCGTCTGGCCGTGGCCCAGAAGCTCAATCGCGACCAGGTTCATTTTATTGGTAAGCTCATTATTCGCATACTGCTTGCTATACAATTCAGACGAGGTGGTGAATGAATTGACCAGCACAAGGGTGGGCTTTGCGGGGTCGTATGGGTGAGGCATCTGGTAGGCAGCATCAATGCCGCCCAGGTGAGGAACGTGTACGGTTTTGGTGTTGGGCATTATTGTAAAATTCAATACAACGGCTCTATTCGTGTGCTTGTCCGAAGAATGGAAGAGGAAGAGGACAGGTATATCAATTGGTTTTGTGTACAGTCAAGTGTGCTACGTACCCCACAATTATGCGGGAGATGATTGATAATTGATATGACTTCACGTTTTCCAAAAACAGTAACCTCTTTTCGCCCCGCTTATTGTACTTATTGTAACCCAGGGTAATTTCTTTCAAACGCTGGGACTATGCAGCATTTGCAGTTTTAAGGTTTAAAAAAGGGCCATGGTTATCACGTGCAGGTACCTGCCTTTTATTCACCTGTGACCTCTTTCCACCCACTCCTTCCACTCAATCATCATTCTTCTATCCATGAAATTTCAGAAATACTCCAACCACAAGCAAGAAGCCTGAAACAACGTATGAAGCTCACTTGAATTCTCGGTCCTCGCCGGCTCTTAGCCGGCCTTTTGACCGGGTTTTTAAAATAACCAAATCTGATACAAATTCAGTCCGCTTCGTCTTCATGCAGGATGCAGGAAACGCGGCAAAAGGGACAATAGAAACCTTCAAGAGACCATGAGACCTGAAAAGTACGATGGTTAGGCCTTGAATGGTGGCTACAAAGCGGTCCAAAGCTCCATGGCTCTACTGCGGAAACTGAGATAGCCCCAAACCCGAGAGATTGTGCAACAGTCTGACATGTTGCTGTAGACGATTGATTTTTAAGTACACATGACACAATACTTTTAGTGATCCGCACAGACGAAATCCAGCAAGCATTTGTCAAGTTTAGCCGGTTATTGTGTGGAAGCTTGTCTTGAACAGTTTCAATGCGCAAAAGATGCAGAAAGAAAGTATAACAACTTCTCACAACCTCTGCCTTTTAGACAAAGAAAAATGTGGAGGAAATGCATATATCCGATTCCTTCATCGACCCCTTGGGCCCCAATCTCATGTGTCGGCTTTCGAATGGTCGAAGAAGCATCTCGAAGCGCTGAGATTCGTAGCACTCGATAGTTGAAAAGCTAATAGGCTTTTACTAAATCATTATCTTGATGCTAACTTACACTGTTGCTAATTAGACAGCATACGGAAGGCTTATTAGAGGTGTATATTAGAATCCTGAGTCGCATAGATGGAACTAACGCATCACTAGTATGCTGGCCCACTGGAACAAAATTCCGGTAAATCGACCTTGCTCGCTGGAATAATTCGCTCTTCTATTTTGTACGGGTTTTTCAATATGCCTGCGGACATGTTATAAAGGAAATGCGGTTTATCAGGGGCCAATTTAGAGACTATTTCCAAAGGTATGAAAGGAAGGTTCCCAACATGAAAGGATCCATTTCAAGAGCGATAAATAGGAACACAAGAGAAAATCACCAACATCTATACTCACCAAATTATCGTTATGGGTGGACTTCTGTAAGAACAATACCATACGTCAGGGTTATCAGCCATAGCATCGTAGAATTCCGGAGTTAAATATAGATGACGCCATCTTTATCCAACCGACATTCTCTTCACGGCAGTCAACTATTGGCTCGTAATGTCCTTCATTTTGTCGTTCCTCGGGAGAAAGTTCTGCAACCGAAGAGTCCTCATCCAAAGGCAACCAGCTGACGTCTACAGATTTCACATAGCTTTCCCCGTCCATATCATCGTCTGGAGCTTGTGGAACATCGTTGACCACACTCCGCAATGCGGCTTCATCAACCATGACAAAGTACCCGTATCCCGGAATTCCAACAGCCCCAAGGTGTCTATTTTCACGATGTGGGTTCTCAATATCAATCGCATGAGCCTCCCATTCCCTAAAGCGGGTACGAAGCCGGTTCTTCAAAACGTCATCCAGTGTATCACGATGTTAAACAAGATTCCTTCCAGTGTATTTCCAGCCTCTGGCATATCAGAGCTTGCGGTGGGTGCACGGAACCGTTCTTCGACAATCTGTTTGAACCACGACCAAGCTTCATCATCCTCATAAGCGCAGCGGTAGATCACGATAGGAAAGTATAGCGAAAACCAACACGAAGTCAGAAGCGGGGAGGGCTCAAGTGGCATGACTATTTCAGCCCAGCCACTGCAGGCTACCACCTCAAGCACGTACTTGAACTGTAACCTGTCGATGCGATATTGATGTCCAGCTCAGCTTACAGCGGATATTCTGATCCCGGTTTCATCATGTCTACGCGGGAAGTTCGCTGTATGACAGGCTCGAATATAGTGTCATAGCCCTCTAGCCCTAGCTCATAGCGGACAAAAGGCCACTATAATGAAATGTAATTGGGGCGGAGATGTCCAGCAGGCGACTAAAGACCCACCAGTATTCAGAATGAAGGAGAACCGCCGTGGCCACGTCAACTTCGCTCTCTTCAATTCCCGTTCGCCAACGGATCCAAAAAATGGGCCAACTTGCATAATTGCTGCAATCCCCTCTTGATCGGCACCGGGTCGCTCAGCTATGCGTTCACAATGCATCCAATGCCGGAAGTATATACTCGTAGAGGGTAGGTGTAGTCACGAATAGCAAATGCAGCATTTTTTGCTCGTACCCGTACGATAATAGTGACGGCCTTGCCGAGATTTGTCTGGGTATGTTTGTGAATACTCTGTAACTCCACAATGCAGGACATGCATTAGTCCCCGTAGGTATCCGCAGCAGCTGAAAATTGTATGACATGTTCAAGGTTGGTTGGTCAATTGAGGCCCCAACTGTGGAGTCCATGGCTGCTTCAGGGAACAAGGGCTCGGATGAATCGAAGAAAAGCCGCTCATCCTCTCTCAAATCTCAATGTCCGGGTACGGCCTAGCAGCGTTATTTCGAATATCTTAGGGGTCGTGTTTTGGCATTCTGCTTTTTGAGACTCCCATTTTGGTAGGTACTGCAGTGCTTCTGCAAGAGATGATACCTACATGGATGTACATCGCCCGTTTCATTCTCGTAGTGCACGCAGGCATGCATGCATCAAGGCAGCTAGTTCCAAAATTTCAGCTCACCCATATCTTTGACATAATGGTTTCAGCCGAAAATAACCTTCCGAGGTCAGTTGGTAATCCGATGCTCCGACTTCAGATCCATGAGGGCTCATGGAATATTGAAATTTCCTCTTGCAAGAGCCGTTAGTGTTACTTCGAGCCATGATCTTCAAACTGTTGATCTTGAGACCAGAATTCTGACATGGAGTACATGCTCGTGCTTTTGTAGGAGCTGACACTCGCATGATGTGACGCAAGTCTCCAATTCTAGCCTTCCACAGGACATGCAGTTATACTTCAAGGCAGCCCAAATTGCTCCGCATCCTCAGTCCATTGCCACATGATGGCGTCAGCTGAATATGAGCATATCCATGCAATAGAAGCTCACAAAGCATAAATAGCACACAATTCCCCCATCAACCAGACAAACCAAAGCAGCAACAGAGATAGCAGCCAAAATGCCCTCTCCACCATGCTGCGAAACCAACCCTCACGAGGTCATCAGCACGTATTTTATCGGTCCCAAGGCGGAAAATATCTCAGTATTTCAAGATAATTTTATTACCATCTTGAAGGAGCTTGAGAAGACCCGACTTGCGTATCATAGTGATGATGAGGTGTGTGATTTACCGTTCACTGATATCACAACGTTTGCTAATATTCTGCCTGATAGGTATTTATTTCAGAAGAAGTTCGAGAGTCTAATACCTTCAAAATGATCACTAAAAGGTTCAACGAAGCGTTGAAGTTGACTGCGAAGTTGATGGGAGAACACTCGATTCCTTTTTGGCACCCACGGTACCTCCCCTTCCTACTTCCTCTCTCTGTCCCGACCTGACAGATCTAACCGTATCAATTATAGGTATGAAGGCCACATGTGCACCGACCTGACCATGCCCGGTCTCCTCGGATATGCGGCCACGATGATGTTCAACCCTAACAACGTCACCGTCGAGGCGAGTCCTTTTACCACCGTTGTTGAACATAAGGCTGGCAAGCAGCTGTGCGAGATGTTCGGATACAATACCAACGGGAACATCTGTCCGACGGCGTGGGGCCACATTACCTGCGATGGCACGGTGGCTAATCTAGAGTCTATTTGGGTTGGTGAGTAGCCTTTTCCCCCTTTCTATCTTGTGATGTACAGGCTAAGACGATGAGCAGCACGGAATCTGAAATTCTACCCCCTCTCGTTGCGCAGAGCCATGAAAAATGGCCCTCTCGGCTTCATCGCTAACGATAAATTCAAGGTCCTCAATTGCCTCGGGGAAACGAAGCCCTTCAAGGATCTCACTCTCTGGGAATTGCTGAACCTCTGGCCTGATACCATCTTGGGAATCGCCAATACTCTGCACACAGAATTTGGTATCACGCCTAAGTACCTTGAGGATTCCTTGAGGAATCACAACATCCAGACGATCGGGAAAGATGCACTGGAGCGGGAATTTGGTCTCGAGAAGCAGGGGCAATACTTCCTCGCGAAGACCAGGCATTACTCATGGCCTAAGGGCGGTGGTATGTTTATTTACCTTTCGTCATTTATTGAACACAAATGCTGACGATTGCAGCCATTGCGGGCCTGGGCTCCGGCAACATGCAAGGAATCGATCTAGACCTGGACGGCCACATCGACCTCAAAAAGCTCAAGAAGAAGCTCGAACATTGTTTGAGAGAAGAGCAACCGGTGTATGCAGTCGTGGCCGTGATGGGATCCACAGAAGAGGGCGCTGCCGACCGACTGAGCGAGATCATCAAGCTTCGAAAAGAGTTCCGCGAGAAGGGACTGTCGTTCCTGGTCCACGCAGATGCCGCCTGGGGAGGCTATTTTGCCAGTATGATCCCCCCGGAAGTCAAGAAGGGACCCGGCGATGGGAAAAAAGCCATCGACAAGGTTCCGTCGCTGTCTCTCCGGAAGGATACTTTGACGGACTTTATGGCGCTGAAAGATGCGGATTCGATCACCGTGGATCCTCACAAGGCCGGATATATTCCCTACCCCGCTGGTGGGCTGGTGTATCGGGATGGCAGGTTAAGGTTCCTGGTGACCTGGACCAGTCCATATCTGACGCAAGGATCGCTGGAGAGCATTGGTGTTTATGGAGTTGAGGGCAGCAAGCCCGGTGCGGCGGCTATGGGAACGTGGTTGTCCAACCAGACTATCGGTCTCGACGAGAATGGGTATGGTCGTTTGCTGGGAGAGGCCGCGTTCACAAGTGCCCGGGTAAGTATCCTAGCTATCTTTAAATTCCGAATGGACCTGCTAACTCGGTCGATAGTTGAGTGCCCACTATGCGGCCATGCACTGGAAGCAGCCCTTGGACAAAGATACCGGCAAACGCCGCTACATCTGCATCCCGTTCAACAGACTCCCTAAGGAGAAAGAGGGAAACGGCTATGATTCTCTGGATCCCGAAGTTGATAAGCGAAGAGAATGGATTACCAACAACATCCTTGAGAAATCGAACGAAGAAATCGTGGAAGACCCCAAAATCATGGATTATCTCCGGGAACTAGGCTCAGACCTCAACATCAATGCATTTGCGCTCAACTGGTACCGCGAAGACGGCTCGATCAATGACGAGATTGAGGAGGCAAATTATCTGATGAAGAGAGTGGTTGACCAACTCTCGATCACCAAGGCAGATCAAAACCCGCAGGGAATTCCCCTGTATTTAACATCGACCCAGTTCGAGCCCGACTTGTACGGCACATGCGCACTGCACTTTATGAAACGACTACACCTCAATCCGGCAAAGCAGGACCTCTTTGTCCTGCGCAATGTTGTCATGAGCCCCTTCCCAACTGAAAAGAATTTCATCGGTGGCTTGATGGACTACTTAGAGACGGTGATCACAAAGGAGGTCAAGGAAACTCTCTGGCCAAGGAACAGGCCTGGAAGCTATCATGTCAACTTCTTGATGTACGGCACTGACGAAATATTCCTCGACTTCCTGACGAGCTTCCATCAGGCGACTCAGCGCCAGCAGATTATCCTGTCTGCGGACCTTGACTCGGGTAAAAAGGCGCAGTATGTGCAACTCAAGACGGACAACCCACTAACTGAGATTGCCTGGTTATCCGACAAGAAAGAGGATATAAAGGCTACAATAATTGAGATGCTCGCGGGCAAGCATCCCATTCTCAAGGGCTCGATCGCCGTTAAAGATAAGGAGACCGGCGAGTAAGTCATCCCCCTTCCTTACAATAACGCCTTTTCGCTCGAGCTTTCCTGACTGACATGTTCAATCTGTTTCAGGTATGTCCGGCGGATCTCGGATTGCCAGGTCACACTCAATCGCATCGTGAAGAGCCGGCCGCTTAACTCATCCAATCGCGAACTCGGGTATCCTGAAGACTTCACGCCCTTCTACCTATACGGAACACCCGCCCAACCTCATATCTCGCACATGCTGCTCCGAGCCCCAAACATCTCGCTCTCAGCCAGCAACGTGAAACTGGATCTGGACCACACACAGGCCGTTAATGACAGGCTCTCCAATGGCTTGATCCTGACACTATCCGACTGGCGTGAGGTGACCATGCAGCCTTTCCCAGCCACAAATGACGAAATCCGCAAGGAAACGTCCTTTTTCTTCCGCAAGGACAATAAATTCAGTGTCAAGGTGTTTGAAGACCCCAAGTTAGCGCACGATGAAGGCCCGGAACTTTTGGCTGGTCTGAAACAGCCAATCGCGCAGGGTACAATGACCTTGGGGGATGACGTGCGTGTGGACGTGGAGGGACCGAACAAAGATCCGTTTGACAACCCCCCCTCCACGAAGTCATGGGAAGATGAATTGGACAAGGTCAAGGCTGTCTTGAATGGTGATCAGATAGTGTGTGAGGATGGCACGAAAGTAGGGAGCTGAGCCTGTTGGGCTACAGCGATAATAACTAGTGCTAAGACCCAGTTGACTCAATGAAAGATGTTAAGACCATGCTTGCGCATCGTATCTGTACAATGGGCGGATAGTCTAATTGGTATTCGTTGAGTACTTTATACACAATAGCTGAATCAAAGTTGCCTTGCACAACCTCTGCTTGTTCGTCCCATCATCAGTCCAAGCTGTGCAGGGACACGATCCAAAACCACGAAGAAAGTTGAAAAATAAATCAAGCCAAATCCATGAAACCCTTACATAGAACAAGATGTGACAACTAGCATAGAGACGATGGGCGATGATGATAGAAACATAGAAGAGGGAAGTCAAATCAGGAAGGAGTTACCTGATTTCCCTTGCACCACACAACACTACAAGAGTACTGCAAGATTGTCCTTACGCAATCTACACAAGGACAGTATTATATATAATCTATTATTTACGGCGGATTACCACCCAAAACGAAGCACACGAAAAAACACCGGGAGACTAAACACAGCCAACGGCTTGAACATTATTCACAAATTGACAAAGCTGGAATCCAAACCAATGGCAGTATAAGACAAGGAGAATATAGAAGAAATATATAAAATGGACGGTTCAAAAAATTTACAGAAGGATCATACCGGCACCGGCGACGACAGCGGTGGCCAGGTAAGCACCGAACTGCCAGACACCAACACGGACGGCACCAGGGGCGACCATGTGGGCAGCACCCTCAGAGCCGGAGGCAGAGGCAGAGCCGGAAGCAGAGACCTGGTTAGCGTTGCCGGTGGGCGAAGAGGTGACGGTACCAGTACCAGCGGAACCAGCTTCCTTGAGGAGAGCAGAGCAGGTGCCGCTGGGGGAGCTGGAGGTCTTGGTGGTGGCAGCGCCGTCGAAGTCGCAAGCGGAAGCGCCGTTGCCCTTGGACTTCTGCTGCTTATAGTACACGTTCATGGCGTAGGCGAGCTGCTCCTTGGGAGTGCAGACACTGTAGGCACCGTATTCACCAGTGGTGGCGTTGGCAGAGACACCGTCACAAACATCGTATCCGCAGACGGTACCAAAGACCTCACCAACCTTCTCGCCGTCCATCTTGCCCTTGACAGTGCACTCCAAGCTGTCCATCATGCAGGTGCAGAGGTCCTTGTTGGGCGAAGGAGGAAGAGGAGTGGCAGCAGCACGCCAGGCGCTGTTGACAGAGGGGCAAGACTGGAGGGCAGAGTTGGTGGGCTTGTAGTCGCTCTTCTTGGTACCGGTAGCCTTGACCTTGGCGAGCTGCGAGGAGAGGTTGTTGAAGTCGTCGAGGGTGCTGACCTTGTCGCCATCAACCGAGACGAGACCTAGTCATGTTAGTTTTCTGTTACGTGAGTCTATTGTGGGGAAAGGGAGAAGGACATACCGTAGTCATTCTCTTCCTGGAAGTACATATAGACAATACCACCAGACCAAACATCGTTCATCTGCTTGCCGTAGAGAGCTTCGACCTCAGAGAACTTACGGGGCTGGACAGCGTTGCAACCGTATTCAGCAAAGAAGACAGGGACGGAGTAGTCCTTGAACTCCTCAGTACGGGTCTTGTAACCAGACTTCTGGTAGTTGGAGTCACCACACCACGAGTAGATGTTGTAACCCCAGAAGTCAATGCTGTCATCAGAGTTGTCGCAGTTGAAGTAGTTGGCCATCTTCTCACGGATGTCAGCATCGTCGTTGGTGGCGTAACCAACACCCATGCTGCGGTAGTTCTTGGCCTTGATGTACTGCTTCATGTCACGGACAGCGGCCTTGACGAAGGCACTGGCGTCAGTGTTGTTGGCCTGGTTGGAGACTTCATTACCAGCGAAGAAACCAATGACGTTGGAGTACTGAGACATCTCGTCAACGACGCTGACGTAGCGGCTGTAGAGATCGGCATCCCACTTGGGGTCGTTGCGGACGATGGACTCGCTGGGAGAGGACAGATCCGAGATAACGTAGATACCGGCATCCTGGAGCAGCTTCATACACTCGCTGTGGTCGGCTTTGGGGTCGATGGCGTAGGTACGGATGGTGTTGGCACCCAACTTCTCAAGGTAGGGGACATCACGCTTGCAAGCATCGGCGTCGGCCAAGGGGTCTTTGAAGTTGTCTGTATCGGACTTGGGGCCCGAGTACTCCTGTTGGTAAGCAACACCCTTGATGTAGAACTGGGTGTCGTTGCTCTTGTAGAAAAACTTGGAGCCCTTGATGACAATGGGGTCCAAGTCAGCCAGAACGGTACTGGCAAAGAGAGTCGCACCAGCGACAACGTTGGTAAGCTTCATGACGGGCGTACGTCAAGCAAAAAGGAGAGACTGGTATAAAAAGAGTGTCAAGAAATGTTACAGAACGAATGTGTACAGAAAAAGATTGAAATAAAGAGAGACAACAGCGAAATCGCCGTAAGGACTTTTGAAGAGTGAGAGTGGAAGGAAGAGAGGGCTGAAAGGAAGATGTGGATGTAAAAAGAAAGAGAAGCGCTGAAACGGGGGGCTGAAGGGGGTCGACCCCAAAAAAAGGTGAAAGGAGCCAGCCATAGTGGACGGGTCCCTGGATGGAGCATGTCCCTGAGACAATTGAGAGCTTCTATTGGCTGCTAACTCAGAGTTTCCAGGGTCAACACAGCCCGCCGAATCCACCGGGGCTGGTGGAGTCACTAATCCTGCCAAGAGTTTCCTATTTAGGAACAAAGACAACGATCCAGGCCGACGATCCGCAGAGCAGCGGCTTTTGATTCGTTTAGGGACTGCCGCTTCCCATGGGAGCCGCCCCGTGATATCACCAACCGGAACAACGCGCAATCTTGTTCCACTCCTGAAACAAGGGTCAAGGAGAACAGTTAACTGCTGGGCTTCTTGGCAGCGCTGTCAATGGGCGTCTGCATGGTATTGATTGACTACAGTCGGATATATAAAAACCTTGGTCTGGAGTTGATAGTTATCAAGCCTGGATGGGTATACTCCGGAGTATTTCGATGTCAGGATATATAAGCTCACAGCCCCCGACGGTCGAGTTCAATATCTTATGCGGAATACTGCATGGGGCGGAACGGAATATAAGAAGATCAAAATCTCCTATTTAGAGTCGAGATGAATGTTAATAGGCTCTCTGCCACAACTGCTCATCCTTTTTTCAGGCTACCGTCACGCAATCCAATCGATTGTCTGGAGACGTTTTATGGATAGGACGGAAAAGAGTACGTAGTACGAGTGCTCTGTTGCGACAACGATGCTATTAATATCAGATCCTTTCACATCCTATGCGGTACCAGAAGAAAGGACACACTGGACACGACCCCGAGTCAGATTGGCTACGGAGTACGGAGTAGCAAACATGCTATTTTTATTCTCATCAGGGTGATGGGTACCACCTAACTAACCGTCGGTCTGCTGTACTATGGAGTACCACATTGGATTTTCTGGGGTATGTCAAAAGCCTATTGAGTAGATTTGACTTGGGGTCGTTGCCCTAAGAGTTGTGAGATTGGCACGTCAGAAAAGTCCCCATTGGTACGTGGTGGTTTCTTCTAGGAGAGTGCTAGCAGACTGCGGTGGTGAAGTATATATCCGTTGCACATGATGCCGCATTCCTACACCGTGCGGAGTACCACTCGCAGTACACTTGAGTGAATGATACTATCGAACCCCATCCGCCAGGATCCAGCTCGATATTTTATTCGTGCTGAAATAGCTGTAAAATTTCTGTCTCGAGCCTCTACTGTGCGCTATGCCAGTGGATAGATCTCAGGGGAGGGTGAGGGGCTCCACGATGTATATTGAACAGGTTAGCAAACTTATCCTGAATATGCGATGATATATATATTGCTTATCAACTACACTAGTAATGTCGTTGATTGAGCGGACAACTGAAGGCGTTTACACAAACCACTGGAGCTGTATTACAATATATGATTCTCGTTTTCGGTCAAGCATTGATCCATACCTTGCGCCTTGACATAATTGTCTTACTCTGGAGTACAGGTAGAAAAGATTGATTAGATCACAGTCACGGAGTACTCTATACTCTGTACTTCGTACGTACACACACATCAGCTACTAACCGAGCGCGGAACTCTGTCGGAATCCGCCACCAACATATGAAACCATCTCCGAAAGCCGTATGTGATGCGATTGGATTACAGAGCACAAAAGTTGTGATATTCCTCTGTGCCGTCCAGTGTGGCCGTGTTCGACGGTGATGCATGACAGCGGACAAATCAACGCCCGGATCACCGGATGATCTTGTTCCCACAGAGTACATGTCCACGTTGCCACCAGTGCGTTGTATTCTGCTGTTTCTACGGAGTATGCGCGAGTTGTGCCCTGACGATCGTTTCATTACTGAGACCGAAATCTCTCGGGGCGAGCGTACGGTGTACTCGTGGACGGGATAGGCATTGACTAGAAGGCCAAGCTCATGTGGTTGAAGATCGCTGACGTCCGTACTCTTGAGCATTCTAGATGTGATGATGTATCGTGTTGATGATGATGGAAATGTACGAGTAGAATACTCTGTTGGATGGATACTACTGTTCTTGCTGCCTTGTTGCCTGGCGTACAGAGCAACCACACCGTTGAATTCCCGTAGGATCATGCAACAAACCCCTTTTACTTTGTACAAGTACTCTTTTCTTGTTCAACCATATCGTATGGACTTGAGTCGTCCGTACGGGGTTACAGAAAAGTACATCTTGCCACCGTTTGGGACGAGCCCACCCTTTCTAGTGGATGTATCCGATTGGTTTAACTGGGTCCATCAGGAACCAACCAGATAGAGCCAGCATCCCCTGATTATTTTTTAGTTGCAGATTAGTGTCAGGCGATGTGGAGTTTCGTTGTTATTTTCGGATTGGTGTATGAGGCGAGTTCTGAATTATTTCTCGGTACAAGTGAGTCCTTTTGAGAAACTTCGCATGGAGTACCTGTACTAGGCATACTCTGTAGAGGAGTGGTGAGAGTGGCAGGTCCAAAAATGAGATGTGAGACTATGAAGAAAGTCAATTATTGAGTGAGGAATGTACAATTACCATGGACGACACCAGGTTCTAGGATCCAGTCTCAAAAAACTGTGGCTAGTAAGCTGATAAACTCTAAACAGGAACGTGCGACCACAGTATTTGTATTTCGTTAGGTACGGAGTATTTTACCTGGTAATCGGTATGGAACGATGGAATGTTTTAATTAATTATTTGACAATTTATTGACAACTATTAGCTGGAGTCTCGATTCCTTCTAGAATAAAATGGATACTCGCTTTTCTCCGTATTAGCACTATGTACTTTACTCCAGCAGTTCCCGATTGAAATTAGATTCCGTATCTCCCGTACTGGATTTGTACTTGTGCACCACACCCTGCATCCACCACAGACCCAAATAAGCAAAAAGAAGCAAATCAGGAACGGTGGCAAGAGTCGAGGCCGAAAAAGAAGCGCAGAAGTTTGTATGATTGGTGGGCTTGCTTTTTGAAAACGATCGATTTCCCGATATATCTGAAACATAAGTTAATCCATCCGTACTGTTACTGTACTGTACAAGTACTCTACGTGCATACAATATCCCATACACATCTGTATGGAAAACTCATAGAATAGACTGATAATAGGAGATCTCCCGTGACAGACAGATGGTTAATTAAAATAGACCAGTAGGGGAACTTTGGTGCTTAGCTTCTAGAATAGAAAAGCTAGTTTGATGATACAGGATGACTTATTCCGCACTGGTCGCCTGTAATTCGTACTGTACCCCCATGCATTCAGGGATAGCCGAGAAGGGGGATTATGAGTAAAGGTGGCGATTCACCAGCCGCAAACGATATCGAATACAATGGGTATGGCTAGCAAGAGATACTTTGTGTGCTTGAACAGAATAAAGTGCAAGTACGAATACATTCAACAACAGTCAAAGTCAAATTGCTGTATAGAGTGTTCTATCCATGGTTCCATGGAGCTTCGCTGTCTACAATAAAGCACTATGTATTGATATAAGTCCGGGCTCCATTTCCTCCCATGGTTCTCGGATACAAAGTACGTACTAGAGAACTTTTTTAGCAATGCATGCAGGGACTTGCCACTATTCGAATGCAAATAGTGAGGAGAACGAGTGCAGTAAATATTATGATTATCGATGATGGCAACGAACGATGGCGATGGTGATGCCATCCCTTCATACCAGTCGTGAAAAGCGAGGACAACGGAAACGATGGACTTGTACGTAAATATGGTGTATTGGTATTACCGACACGTCGGTATGTGTTTTCGGGCGGTGGAGACAAGTCTCAGGGGCCGTCCAGATACCATGGAATCCTATTGTTCGTATTTTCTAAAGGAGCTTGCACATAAGCACTAGAGGCTACAGAGTCTGCATATACCTTAAAATACAATGCAGGCACAATCCTCACTCTGGTTCTATTCTCTACACTTCATACTGTGCACGGTGAGTACTCCAGAGTATGTTCGCTGAATTGAACAAGTGTTGAATTGTAATTGTGGGGACACCATAAACCAATCATGTGCTGTTGTAGGAACTTGCACCAGCCCCCATCAGGGGATGTGGCTTGAGCGTGGTGTAATAACAGCGTATCATACAAGATATGTATTGTATACATCTGGTACATACCGGTAAATATAATCAAAACCAGGTACTGCTGCATGGGACTGTAAGGCACCGGCCAACCACAAGGTCTTCCGGAAGCGTAAAGTGTATGGTATCGTGTACTGTTGCGTATGAGCGGTAAAATGAGCAGATCCTGATTCCCAAAATAACCCGGTTGCAAAGGCTGGGCCATTCAAGTCTTTGGCCCATCTCTTCTTTCCTCGACCACCACTAGTAGTAATCACCACCACCACCGACCGCTAAACCACCACACACTCTCTTTTTTCCTGTTCGCGTCTTTCCCTCCCTCTCTTCCTTTCCTTTTCTTCCCTCTTCCTTCTTTTGCCGGTTTCGCTCTTTTTTCTTCTTCGTTTCTTCCTTTTTGGTTGTTGTCGTTTGAAACGTCTTTTTCCTAGACAACTTCCTACGCTTGACTCCCCCTTCCTTCTTTTCTGGCTTTTCTCTCGTTAGAGGAAAGAAGGACTGCCGGAGGGAGGTTGTTGTCTACCACTACCGCCTCTTGTCTTTAGACTACGCAGGTGCAGCTCTGTCTGGTGGCTTCCTAATTATCATCTTGACCTTTATTATTCTTTCGTTTTTCCCTTCTACCGTCCATTCGTTCTCTTAAAATCCGACTACCGTCTTGTTTCATCGACGCAGGATCGTTTCAGTCCAAGAACCACCCGTATAGGACTGTTGCCTCACGATACTCGTTTGCTCGAATCGTTTGCATCTTAATGCTCTTAAAGAGAGTTCTTACACCGACAACTTAATTTTTTTTTTAGATGGGTGACTGTTCATGTAAGATGACCTGGCCGGACCTGTCGTGATGACAACTGGAGAGGCTAACCAGTTCCCCTTGCCATGAATATAGAAAGCGTGAAAGAGAAATCGATTATAGCGACTTCCCGTTATGTCAGGATACCCGGGAGGTCACTATGATGATGGCTACGGCCATCCTCATGGTGATTCCTATTACCAAGACGAACACGGTCAAGGGTACTATGACCCCAATGACTATGGCGATGGCTACTACGATCAACAGTATGTGCCTCCCATCCCTTGAACAGAAGGAAATACTGACTGGTATACAGTGGATACTACCCGAGTGAGGGCTATGGCCAGGAGGCTGGTTACTACGACGGCCAGCAGGATGGCTACTACGGCGAGCCGTACTACGACGGAGGTAATGGCCATCAGAGTTACGGCGGCGGTCGACGCAGGGGTGATTCCGAAGATGAGTCCGAGACCTTCAGTGATTTCACCATGAGGTCCGAGACTGCTCGCGCCGCAGATATGGACTACTACGGCCGGGGAGATGATCGCTACAACAGCTATGCCGATAGCCAGTACGGTGGCCGGGGATACAGCTACCGTCCCCCATCCTCGCAAGTCTCCTACGGCGCCAACCGATCCTCCGGTGCTTCGACGCCCGTGTATGGTATGGACTATGGAAATGCCTTGCCGCCCGGTCAGCGCTCTCGCGAACCTTACCCGGCTTGGTCATCGGATGCCCAGGTGCCGGTTTCCAAGGAGGAGGTTGAAGACATCTTCCTTGATCTCGTCAACAAGTTCGGTTTTCAGCGGGACAGCATGCGAAACATGTACGACCATCTGTTGACATTGCTTGACTCGCGTGCTTCCCGTATGACTCCAAACCAGGCCTTGCTTTCTCTGCACGCCGATTACATTGGTGGTGACAATGCCAACTACCGTCGCTGGTACTTCGCTGCTCACTTGGATCTCGATGAGGCGGTCGGCTTTGCCAACATGAAACTCGGAAAGGCGGACCGCAAGACGCGGAAGGCCCGCAAGGCCGCCAAGAAGGCCGCGCAGGAGAACCCCGAAAACGTCGACGAGACTCTCGAGGCTTTGGAGGGCGACAACAGCTTGGAAGCGGCCGAGTACAGATGGAAGACCCGCATGAACCGCATGTCACAGCACGACCGGGTCCGCCAGCTAGCTCTGTATCTGATGTGCTGGGGTGAAGCTAATCAGGTTCGGTTCCTGCCGGAATGTCTCTGCTTCATCTTTAAGTGCGCCGATGACTACTATCAAACCCCTGAATGCCAGAACCGCGTGGAGCCTGTTGAGGAATTTACGTACCTCAATGAGGTGGTCACCCCCCTGTACCAGTACTGCCGGGACCAGTGTTACGAAATTGTGGATGGCAAGTACGTCCGTCGGGAACATGATCACAACAAGGTTATTGGTTACGATGACATGAACCAGCTCTTCTGGTACCCTGAAGGTATCGAGCGGATTAAGCTCGAGGACAAGACCCGCCTGGTGGACATTCCTATTGGCGAGCGGTGGACCAAACTGAAGGATGTCAACTGGAAAAAGGCGTTTTTCAAGACTTACAAGGAGACTCGTTCGTGGTTCCACATGGTGACCAATTTCAACCGTATCTGGGTCATCCATTTGGGATGTTTCTGGTTCTTCACTGCCTACAACGCTCCGACCATCTACACCAAGAACTATCAGCAACAATTGGACAACAAGCCCCCGGGTGCCTACTACTGGTCTGCAGTCGGTTTTGGCGGTGCTCTGGTTTCCTTTATTCAGGTTATGGCTACGATCTGCGAATGGCTCTACGTTCCACGCCGATGGGCTGGTGCGCAGCACCTGAGCAAGCGCTTGATGTTCCTTCTCGGCATGCTCATCATAAACCTGGCCCCCGGTGTTTTCGTCTTCGGTTGGGGTAACAAGGTCAAGGACCCAATTCCCCTGATCATTGGTATCGTTCACTTCTTCGTCGCGTTGGCTACGTTCGTCTTCTTCGCTGTTATGCCTCTGGGCGCGCTCTTCGGTAATTATATGAAGAAGCACGGCCGCCAGTATGTTGCCAGCCAGACGTTCACTGCCAGTTTCCCGCGTCTCTCAGGGAACGACATGTGGATGTCCTATGGTCTCTGGATTTGCGTCTTTGGCGCCAAGTTGTCGGAATCGTACTTCTTCTTGACGCTGTCGTTCAAAGACCCAATCCGGATTCTGTCACCCATGGCTCTAAAGAAGTGTATTGGTATCAAATACGTCGGAGATGTCCTGTGCTACAAGCAGCCTCAGATCTTGCTCGGTCTCATGTTCTTCATGGATCTGACGCTTTTCTTCCTGGATAGTTACCTCTGGTACGTTATCTGTAACACGGTCTTCTCGGTCGCTCGGTCGTTTTACCTTGGTGTCTCGATCTGGTCACCTTGGAGAAATATTTTCTCCCGTCTGCCAAAGCGTATCTACTCCAAGGTTCTCGCCACCACCGACATGGAGATCAAGTACAAGCCAAAGGTCTTGATCTCGCAAGTTTGGAACGCCATCATCATCTCCATGTACCGTGAACACCTGTTGGCCATTGACCATGTCCAGAAGCTCCTGTACCACCAGGTGCCCTCTGAACAGGAAGGCAAGCGGACCCTCCGTGCCCCTACCTTCTTCGTTTCCCAGGAAGACCAGTCTTTCAAGACGGAGTTCTTCCCGGCCGGCAGTGAAGCTGAGCGTCGTATCTCTTTCTTCGCCCAATCTCTCTCCACTCCTATGCCTGAGCCTTTGCCGGTAGATAACATGCCCACATTCACCGTCCTGATCCCTCACTACAGCGAAAAGATCCTGTTGTCCCTTCGTGAGATCATTCGTGAGGATGAGCCTTATTCTCGTGTCACACTGCTGGAATATCTGAAGCAGTTGCATCCTCACGAGTGGGATTGCTTCGTCAAGGACACCAAGATCTTGGCCGATGAGACTTCTCAGTTCAACGGCGAACCCGAGAAGAACGAAAAGGATGTGGCCAAGAGCAAGATCGACGATCTGCCCTTCTACTGTATTGGTTTCAAGTCTGCCGCTCCTGAGTACACTCTTCGTACCCGTATCTGGTCTTCTCTCCGCTCGCAAACTCTGTACCGTACCATCTCTGGTTTCATGAATTACAGCCGGGCCATCAAGCTTCTATACCGTGTGGAGAACCCGGAGGTTGTTCAGATGTTCGGCGGTAACTCTGAAAAGCTCGAACGTGAACTCGAGAGAATGGCTCGCCGCAAATTCAAGATCAGTGTCTCTATGCAGCGTTACGCCAAGTTCAACAAGGAGGAGCGCGAGAACACCGAATTCCTTCTCCGTGCCTATCCTGATCTACAAATCGCCTATCTCGACGAAGAGCCACCGGCGAACGAGGGCGAGGAGCCCCGTCTCTACTCGGCCTTGATTGACGGACACTGTGAACTGCTTGAGAACAACATGCGCAAGCCCAAGTTCAGGATTCAGCTCTCTGGTAACCCCATTCTTGGCGATGGAAAGTCGGACAACCAGAACCATGCCATCATTTTCTACCGTGGCGAGTACATCCAGCTCATCGATGCCAACCAAGACAACTATCTCGAAGAGTGCTTGAAGATCCGTAGCGTTCTTGCTGAATTCGAAGAGTTGACCACGGACAACGTCTCTCCTTACACTCCCGGTATCCCCACGACTAACACCAACCCCGTTGCCATTCTTGGTGCCCGTGAATACATTTTCTCCGAGAACGTCGGTGTTCTTGGTGATGTCGCGGCCGGAAAGGAACAGACGTTCGGTACCTTGTTCGCTCGTACTCTCGCCCAGATCGGTGGTAAACTGCACTATGGTCACCCTGATTTCCTGAACGGTGTTTTCATGACGACTCGTGGAGGTGTCTCCAAGGCTCAGAAGGGATTGCACCTGAACGAAGATATCTACATTGGTATGAATGCTATTCTCCGTGGTGGTCGGATCAAGCACTGCGAGTACTTCCAGTGTGGTAAAGGTCGTGATCTTGGTTTTGGTTCCATTCTCAACTTCACCACCAAGATTGGTACTGGTATGGGTGAACAGATGCTTTCCCGTGAATACTACTACCTGGGTACACAGTTGCCCCTTGACCGCTTCCTGTCATTCTACTTCGCCCACCCTGGCTTCCACATCAACAACATGTTCATTATGTTGTCGGTGCAGATGTTCATGATTGTCTTGATCAACTTGGGAGCGTTGAGACACGAGACCATCACTTGCAAGTACAACTCTGACCTGCCTATTACGGACCCTCTCCGCCCGACCTACTGTGCCAACCTGACTCCTGTCATTGACTGGATCAACCGTTGCGTTATCTCCATTTTCATCGTGT